GTGTGCATTTAAACCTGCTCATATTTCAGCGGAGGTGTCAAATATAATAATGATAAATCATATTTTGCATAAAGAAAATGATTATTTGGTGATATTGTTTTACCATTTAATTCTCAATGCATTTAGATTTATTATTATTATTGTTTTATTTTATACCATATGCATTTAGATTTATTATTATTATTATTATTAATATTATTTTATTTTATAACATATGCATTTAGATTTATTATTATTATTATTATTAATATTATTTTATTTTATGCATTTAGATTTATAATTTTCAGTTAAAACACCTTTTCTATCAGAACTTCTCAATGCAATACTTTTTCATTGTTATTATTATCAATGCATCATCTCAAAAATAATAACGACAAAATAGAAATTATATTTTGCATAATGAAAGTATTTTTTGGTGTAAATTTTTTAATAATAGTTATTATACATTCTGGATTCATGCAGATTTTTATTACCTATATTTTATATTTATTATTTACAAAAATAGTAATAATAAAAGAAAAATGATATTGTGAAAAAGATTGTTGAGTTTTAAATGAGGCCATTTTAATGAAAGTTACCATCAAATTGTCAAAGCATTCAGAATTATTATGATTATTTTGAGCATGCATGGATCTCCTGAACACATGATCTGGTCTAATTTCTATTCAGATATTCAAAATAATCATGACACAAAGAAAATGATCTTAGGATCATTAAAACAACTTCTAATAACAGGTAAAACAATCATAACTTCTCAATGCAATATTTTTTTTTATGATGCACAGGTATTTCATCTCAGAGGTCAAACATAATAATGCCAAAATAGAAATGTTATGTTGCATAATGAAAATAAATATATGGTGATCTTATTTACCATCAATTCTCAATGCATTCTGATTTATTATTTTATTTAATCAATTATATATGCATCTAGATTTATTATTATCAATTAAACACCTTTTCCATCAGAACTTCTCACTGCAATACTTTTTTTAAATTCTTATTATCATTGATGCATCATCTTTCAAAAATAATCATAACAAAAAGGAAACGATATTTTGAAAAACATAGTTCTCAATGCATTCAGATTTATTATTATTTTGAGCATGCATGGATCTCCTGAACACATGATCTGGTCAAATTTCTATCCAGATATTCTAAATAATCATGACACAAAGAAAATTGTTTTAGGATCATTAAAACAACTGTTATTGACAGGTAAAACACCTTTTCCATCAGAACTTCTAGATGCAAAACTTTTTATTGTAGTTATTACTGATGCATCAAAAATAATAATGAACAAAATGGAAATTATATTTTGCATAAAGAAAATGATTATTTGGTGATATTGTTTTTAATGACAGTTACCATCAATTCTCAATGCATACAGATTTATTATTATTATTATTATTATTATTTTATTTTATGCATTTAGATTTATAATTTTTTAGTTAAAACACCTTTTCCATCAGAACTTCTCAATGCAATACTTTTTCATTGTTATTATTATCAATGCATCATCTTAGATGTCAAAAATAATAACAACAAAATAGAAATTATTAATTAAATAACATAAAGAAAATCATTATTCAGTGATATTGTTTTTAATGACAGTTACCATCAATTCTCAATGCATACAGATTTATTATTATTATTATTATTATTATTATTATTATTATTTTATTTTATGCATTTAGATTTATAATTTTTTAGTTAAAACACTTTTTCCATCAGAACTTCTCAATGCAATACTTTTTCATTGTTATTATTATCAATGCATCATCTCAGATGTCAAAAATAATAACAACAAAATAGAAATTATTAATTAAATAACATAAAGAAAATGATTATTCAGTGATATTGTTTTTAATGACAGTTATTTCTCAATGCATACAGATATTTTTGAATATGTTTGCAGTGTGAATGCAGAGTAATGTTCTTCACTATATACAGTAAATAGCCATTTGTCTTCAGGACACTTCACTTGTTATGGTATTTCTGTTGTCATTCCTTCGGCTGTCGTATTTCTCATGTACAATAGAGTGTTACGCTCCATCTAATGTTGATAAATCGCATTACTTTATTTGTATTTATTTTGAACAGTAAAATTCCGCTAACCACAGGTGTCCGCAGTTTGTCTTTTACTGTACATTTTTTTGTATTTATTTTTTTACAGCGTGTATTTCATGATCACATGACCTGCGGCTCATATTTCAGCTCTGATGTCAAGAATAATATTGAGGGATTAATTATATTTTGCATACAGAAAATGAGTTCTGGCATCATTAAAGCCAGTTTAATGACAGTTAAAACACTTCTTATCATCACTTTGCAATGCATCCTGATTTTTAGTTATTATTAATTATAACTTAGTCATATTTTATGGCTTAAACACTTCAATTTTTTCATTGCATGTCATTATTTTTTACAATAATATTTCTAAAAAACTATATAACATTTCTGTTGTCTAAATAGTTGTTTGATTGCACCAAAGCAATAGTTTCATAATTTTCATTACATTTATAAGATTATTTTATTTATGTTACATTTATAACCATGTGAAAAGCAAAACTTGAAAATGTTTGACTAAAAGTCATTTAATTTTTAATATAGAGTATATGCTGATGTGTGTGTGTATGTGTGTGTGTGTGTGTGTGTGTGTGTGTGTGCGTGTGTGCGTGCGTGCGTGCGTGCGTGCGTGGCGCGCGATGTGTCTCTCAGATTTCATTGCCAGTGGTTTAAAGTGTTTAAAACTGCATCAAGTAAAGCTTTGTGTATGTGTGTGTGTGTGTGTGTGTGTGTGTGTGTGTGCGTGTGCGTGTGTGTGTGTGTGTTGAGGATCAGGTCATTGCTTGTTTTTCTTTTCACTGCGGCTCCTGTTTT